TTTTTTTTTTTTGGTTGCAGCCGTCATTGTTGTTTGGCGGGCCCAGGCTAGATTCGAACCCACCAGCTCAGGTGTATGTGGCTGGCACCTTAGCCGCTTGAACCATAGGCACCGAGCCAAGATAATCTTGGAATTTTCTTTTTTAGGTGGTTTGAAAGGCTTCCTCCACCATAATATGTCTTTATTAACCATACTTAAACTGTTTTCTTTCTTTTTGTGGGATGTTTTTTTCCTCCCTAACTCAAGGCCTGGAGGCTTTATCTGGAATATTCCCATAAGCCTCCTATAGGGTCAAGAGATACGGTTCTCTCCCCAGTGGGCTTATTCCTCCTACCTTAATGCAGAATGTTTGTCCAGATTGGCCAGTGGGCTAGAGACAGAAGTTTCTCTGTGCCTCTTGTTCAAGCCCTGGCTGATCTGTTCCTCAAGTTTCTCCTCAATGGTTCAGACTTTGCATTTCTGAATCCACAGTGTACTTTAGACCCCTAAGACTGCATAACCTTGGCCCTTCTCACTGGTGGTTGGACTGCATCTAGTCTCTTCCAAAACACTAGATGACTTTTCTCTCTCCACACTGGTAGAATCCTTTTCAAACTTCTTAGCACCAGCTTAGAGACCCCAGTAGATCAAAGCTCTTTTGCAAATCAGCCAGGATGTTCTTGCCCTAGGGGAGGAATTAATGACCAGAGCAGACACAATCCCCAAGGAAACTGGATTCCTTCTTAATGGGTTGAAAATGAAAAGTAGAGGGGAAAACTTTTTTGCTTGTGTGACCACATAATGGACAATTCCCACTGACCTTCTAAGGATGTGCCACAGGCAGGCTCAGGATGCATGCATCCCTGGGCTCTGCTCTGCCCTGGAAATCCCTATCCCCAGGAGTCCCACGTCCAAACATGTGTCCTTTCTCTGTCTTGGCCAGGAACCACACTTTTTTCCTAAGCCATTCAGTATACCACCCAGCTCATGTTCTGAGAACAGTAACACTCCTGCCTACCTGTCAGCACACACACCCAAGGCACACACTCTCTTGGGTAGGTTTCTACTACACACCCATCAGTGTACTTCTCGCTATCTAGGTGAGGCTAAGGACCATCTCAGTCTTTTTCTATGTCGTCTTCTCGCCCCTTAATCACCACTGCCTCTCGATCACCGGCAGCCTCACACCAAAAAGGAAAGTCCTAGACTCATTACATAATTCTCCATAGTGCAAGCAGTAGCTGGGGCATAAGGTCAGAGGTCATAGTAGGGTCGGGTGGCTGACACACACTGTAACGACAAGGTGGTTAAAATTAGACCACAGAGAGGAAACTGGCAGTCTTGTGGAAATGCAGAAGTTTCCTCTGCAAGTGAGAGGCTAGGGATGCAGGGAGGCCACTGTGCGTGCTGCCTGCCAGGCTATTACTCATTTCAGCTCTGTTCTTTAATGCCTTTTAGCCCCTGCTTCTGTATTTCTAGCTTTCCTCATCACATGTTTGAATACACATGATGGAACCATGGTTACCTGCCCTGGCTGAAGGCTAGCTTCCTTCCTCCTTCATGGAAGTAAACCCAGGATGAGGGACCCCAAACTCAAGGGGCTGACTTTTTTTCTAAACCCTCCTGGATAGCTGAGAACCTTTTCGGTCAACCTCTGAGGTGGAGATGGTCAAGATACTTAGCCTGAGATTCCAGTCTATCATGGTAATAGGGCCAGTGGTGTGAGAGAGCAGGGACCTGCTCAGGCAGGGGAAAAGAGTGGGTTTGGCTTGGCAAAGGTGACAGAGGATGGTGTCAAGGAGCACACCATTGGCTGGTGTTCCTGTGCTTTCCTTGGCCGGCCAGCCAGCAGAGTGGTGCTCATTTTCAGTGTCTTAAAGAAAATGGATCATCCTTGCTTCATCTGTTCCCTGTGATACTCAGCCGAGCTTTCCTGTGCCTGTCCATCTTTACCATAAGCCTACTATGTGCCCAGCTTGTCCTTATAACTCTTGCCAGTGAATTATGAAAAGGATAAGATGTAGTCTTTGCCACCAGAGGAGTAGCTGTCCAGATGAGGGAGATGACACATTTACCTGTAAAGTGATGAGCAATCAAAGACAGTCTTCAGATGAGTACTTCCCTGTGTGATGCAGACACATAAGTCATGAGTCACTTTCACATTAAGGAATAGGAAAGAGTTAAAGGAAGGACAGGGGCATTCAGTGTAGTCCAGAATCAGTGTGGATGAAGGGGCTTCCCCCTGTGGCCTATCTGCCCACTGACATGTATTTCCCACATGGGGTGGTCTTCAGCTTCAAGCTCCAGATCTAGCAGGGCTTGTCTTCCTTGAGGAGAACTCTACCAGTAGAGAAGAGAGGAGAGGACATAACATGAAAGGGCTAAAATGCAGAAGAGTACAAGAGAAGTGGATGAGTTGGAGGGTGAGGACATGCATGCGGCGTCTGGCAGAAGGGAGGACCCCAGACTGGTGACTGTGGATGCTCCATCCAAGACTCTTACAAATTTGACAGTTACTCAAGATATTGAATTTCATTTCAGCTAAATCAGCCCTGGCTTCTCTGACAGCACTGGCTTGTGTGCTAATGTGGCCACATGGGATCAGGTTGGCGTGAGCCCCTGGAGGAGCAGAGCTTTGGTGAAACACCCCCACCTGCTCTGCCTGTCTCCCTCCTCCTAACAATTTCCTGCCTGACCCCAGTCTCTTGAGCATGAGAAGCTCTTAGGTGGGGCAGGAACCTGTCATGGGAAGCTCAAAATGATCTGGATGAAATGAAACAGCCAAGAAAGCCCTCATCATTCATTTCACATTCCAGCTGAAAGTTCTCCTTTGGGGAGTCTGGAGACAGGGAGTGAGGAGAAGAGTGGAGAGTGGCAGCGAACTGTATGCTATAACAGCCAGTGTTTTACACTCCTCTTTTCTTTCTACTGATTAGAGACCAAACTTAGAAGAATTTATTCTTCATTTTTTTGGGGGGACACAGTCTCAGTTTGTTGCCCTTGGTAGAATATCATGGCGTCATACCTCACAGCAACCTCAAACTCTTGGGCTTAAGCGATTCTCTTGCCTCAGCCTCCCAAGTAGCTGGGACTACAGGCGCCCACCACAACACCCAGCTATTTTTAGAGATGGGGGTCTTGCTATGGCTCAGGCTGGTCTCAAACCGGTGAGCTCGGGCAATCCACCCGCCTCAGTCTCCCAAAGTGCTAGGATTACAGGTATGAGCCACTGTGCTTGGCCCAATTTATTCTTTTTTATGTGAAGACTTTGGTAAAAGAAAAGCAAAACCCCTGAGGGAACCTGGCACTGATCCTGGGGTTGTCTATAGCCCTGGAGTGGCAGGACTGACCTAAGGAGAGACTAGGGGGACCTCCTTCAGAAGATTTTGTCCTCAACCTGCTTTTGGCCCTTGCTCACCACCTTGGACACACATTCACATTCCCACTCACTCACTCTGTCCCCACTTGCCCAGTAACTCTGGCATACATCTCAGGTACCCCTCAGCCAACAGTGTCTCTCATCTTCATCTTCCTTTTCAGAAAATGCTGTTTTTCTTCTTTCCCTCTCATCCTGTAGGTTATTGCAGCCGACTGCAAAAGGGTCACAGTGCTGAAGTATTTTCTGGAAGCCCTTTGTGGACAAGAAGAGCCTCTGCTGGCATTCAAGGGTGGAAAATATGTGTCAGTGGCACCCGTCCCAGACACCATGGGAAAGGAAATGGGAAGCCAAGAGGGAAAACAACTGGAAGATGAGGTACTATGCGGGAAGAGCCCGCTGTGGCGGAGGGAAGGCTCCCTCCTCCTCCCCCTGCCACCCTGCCATCCTGCCATATCTTCAGCTTCTACTCCTGATTATTTATAACCCACTCAGAGCAATATCTGTGTTAATGTGACCAGTCAGCTTCTCAAAAGTGTACTCTGCTTATGCCCCTTCCTGCCGGTCCACCCTAGTGCCTCCTTCTCACACTGCTACAAGTTCCAGATGCTTCTTTTTACTGTTGCATTGGAGGAGAAGGGAGGAAAGAAAGAACGAGTTTAATAATGTGCAGCTCTGGAGGCTTAGGGAAGGGAGTGGAGAGAGGGGGGTGTTAGGGTTCAGGCTGAGGATCAAGTTTATAGATGTGTGGAGCTCAGTGCAGCACAGGCCTGAACTCCAGCCTCCAGCACACGTACAGGAAGAGCTGACATTGCTGGCCCCGTGTGGAAAATCACCCCCTCCCCCAGCCTTCCCTCCCTCCCTCTCTCCCTCCCTCCTGCACATCCTGATGTGATTAAGGAATTCTCTTGTTTGTTTGCCCTTGGTTGTTCTGTAGCCCTTGCTTCACTCCAGACCGTGTGTGTGTGTGTGTGTGTGTGTGTGTGTGTGTGTGTGTGTTTGTGCATGTGCGTGCATGAGCCTGTGTACCTACTCCTGCAGAACCCCACTGGCAGTTGCACTGCCATGCATGTATGTGTCTTTCTGGAAGTGACTATTGACATGGGTCTTCATATGCTGGATTTTATATCAGTTTAAGTAAACATTGCTGCCAGCTTCCCTGCTGCCTGTGGGTTCTGAGTGAATGTGAGTGTGCTGGTGCTGGAGCATGTGTGAGTTCAGTATCACTGCCAGCTGTTCTGCTGGGTGTCTGGGTGTGGGAAACTCTGTCTGGGTATGTGTGCACGCACACCTCATTTTTGCCTAAAGATTGACTCCTTCTTTTTGCCCCACAGTGTTAAAGACAAAGGGGACTTAGGTGGGAAGGAACGTGGGCCTGAAGGAAGGGACGGAAGTGGTTCTAGCCAGAGGCCAGGTCACCCATAGGCCAACACAGTCATTTGGCCCACAGCAGTCTCAAGCGCCCGGTTGAGCAGGGTGGGGTGCAAGGATGAAATCAGCAACAGGCCAAGGAAGCCAGATGTCAGCTGGAAGCTGTCATTTGTGATCTGAAGCAGTGATAGAGTAGCCACCTTTGGATCAGAGTCTCCCAAGCAGCAGAGTCTTGGACTGGCTTCATTAGAATAGATGGAGAACCCCACCCCACCCCTGATGACACAGGGCTCAGTTTCTAGGACAGAGGTAGTTCAAGGGATAAAGCCGAGCCCATGATTCCAGACTCTCCAGATGAAACCTGGGCAAGGAATAATGGGAAAAAATGAGCTGTCAGCATTAGGAGGAGCCAGTGGGGTTGCTAAAGCCATCAGGGTATTCAGGTTTCAGGCAGGGCAGAGCAGTGCCACCCAAACCCTGGGCACTGTGTTGGGAAGCACAGGTGGGCCGCATCTCAGCCAGCCATCCCCCCCATACTTTGAGGCTGAGACAGACTAAGGAGGGTGTTCAAGGTCTACTGGAAGCCTGCAATCCCAAATCCAGTTAGGCAAGTAAAGCCCAGAGAGAGGTACTGCATAAAAGACAAGAAAGGCTACTTTTCCACGCTTGCAAGAAACAAACCAACGCTCTGGTCCCAAATCTTGGCTGCATGTCTGTCTGTCTGTCTCTCTCTCCCCCCCCACCCCCCCGTCTCCCTCTCCCTCTCCCTCTCTTTCTTTCTCTCTCTCCCCCTCCCTCTCTCCCTCCTTCTAAGGCTTATTGACCAGACAAAGGTTGTGACCCACGCCAGGCTGCCCACTTCTTCCTTTTCCCACGAGCCTCCTGGGTTCCTTTATGTTAGTGGTCTCTGGGAAACCCTACTTACCCTGGTCTGTGTAATTTCATAACCCTGTACTTCCTCGTTTGCTGTGAGAGCTGAGCAAACCTCAGACAAGCTTCTCTGACCCTCTTTTGACCTCAGTCAAGCTCACTTCAAGCCTCATGATAACCTAGTATACCCTTGGTCAGAACAAGCAGAGGTATTGTTCCCCCATGGACCAGGCAGGCATCATAACCCCCCATAATGGTCCAGGTTAACCCCATGAACCAAGAAGTGAATGTACAGAGAGTGTGTTCCTCTTTCCCACGGCCTGGGCCTCTGAAGGTGAGCCCTGTGACACTGTAATGTGTGTTGTCAAATGAATGATGCTGTGGACCTCTGAGACCTCTTAGGATAGCGACAATTCTGGCCCTATCCTCAAATCTCATCTCTCCTCAAAATCTAAGACTTAAGCTGATTGAGAGACATTGGGGGAAGTGTTTCTTCTGACCTCATTCTTTATGAACAGAACAGAGTCCAATTCCTTAAGGGATGCTACCAAAGTGTCCTTCTTCCTAACTCCAGATTCTGCTACCAAGTGAAAACATCCATATACTTTATTAACTACTTTTAGCCAAGAGTATCTGATTATTATCTTAAGATGGACAGTTAAAAGAGAGTAGTCTATACTGAACAGGTCTGCTGGGGTCTGTGGCAAACCTGACAAAGCTTAGCCACTAAGGGCTAGATCTGGGCTTATAGTCTAGATTAAGGACCCCAAACCTTTGGGCTTGCCAGTTATTGTCTGTACAAACACATATTTTGGAATAAGAGTCACTTAGGTTGGAATCTCCGTTCCTGCCATTTAATTAGCTATGTGACCTCAAGCAGGTTATTTACCTCTAAATCTCAGTTTGTTGTTCCTTTATAAAATAGGGATGGTAGGGTGACGCCTGTGGCTCAGAGGAGTAGGGCACTGGCCCCATATGCCAGAGGTGGTGGGTTCAAACCCAGTCCTGGCCAAAAACTGCAAAAAAAAAAAAAAAAAAAAATAGGGATGGTAATAGCACCTGTTTCACAGTTTGTTGTGAGGATTAAATGAGTTAATACATGAAAAATGCTTAACCCAGTACCTAGCCATTAAAAAGCACTCAGATGGTAGTTACTATAATCATTGTCATTATTATCATCCAGTTAGGAACATAGGAACCTTCTACGAATCACTCCCCATATACCCATGCTAACCTTGTCCCTCAGAGGAAGCTGTCTTGGGCAGCTGCATGTTCTCCAGTGACCAAGGCCAAAAGTGAGGGATCGAGAACTGGAGTGTGGGACCACCCGGGGAGTGATGGCTGCTGAGAGTTGAGGCTGCAAGAAGGGAGGTGCCATCCCTGGGGAATATTCCGCCAGCCTGGCAGGAGGCTCCATAAGCTAGCCAGACACCTTCTACCCTGCCCAGGCCCTGGGAGGGCAGCCGAGCAAGGTCATGTCATGTGAATTCCTGTAATGGGGCCCTGCAGTCCCCATACCACCAGACTGTGGTCTTAAAAAGAAACGAGGGCAAGGTCTGCTGAGCTACAGCATTTGCTCCCTGACGCTGTCTGGGGCAAGGGAGGTTCCACATCTAACTCCCAGCTGTTGGCCAGAGTTGATTTCTATCAGATCATTAGCATAAATTAGATTTAAATTGGGTTAGTTTTCTCTTTTGTTTCCCCCTTGAATCATTTGTGATTGCAAAATGAAAATAGACCCAAAGCTTGATTTTGTGAATGTGTGCAGAGGAAAACAAAGAATGTGAGTACAAATAAGTATGTGTGATTTGTGAGTGACTTACAGTATACTCTATAAAGAAAGAGCCCCCTAGAGCAGTGGTTCTCAACCTTCCTAATGCCGCGACCCTTTAATACAGTCCCCGGTGGTGACCACAACACGAGGAACTGTATTAAAGGGTCACAGCATTACGAAAGTTGAGAATCACTGCCCTAGAGTGTAAAAGGGAGCAGTTAGAGGGGAAGGGTGACAGCTTCTATCAGTTACCTCTTTGCCTGAGTGTGGGGTCCTTTGCACAGGATGATCCCAATCAGAACAGATGAAGGACTGAAAGGGCAGAGAGTAGGTTCAATAAGCACTGTGTGTTCACAATCTCCCCTTTCCTAATGTCTGCTCTACCACCCAAAGGAGGAGGACGTGGTGATTGAAGACTTTGAGGAAGATTCAGAGGTCGAAGGCAGTGGGTGTGAGGATGACATCAGAGAACTTCGAGCCAAGAAGCTGGCTCTGGCCCGGAAGATAGCTGAGCAGCAGCGTCGCCAAGAAAAGATCCAGGTGGGCCCTGCCTGGGGAGGGTGGTTCCCATTTGGGTAGGTGCTATATAAGACATAAAGGGGACAAGGGCAGGGAGTAGGGGTGAGCAGGATTCTCTCAGGAAGAATCTTACAATGTCCTGCCTACCTCTACCCCCATTTTCTTATTCCACCAGTAAATTTTAGTAGCATGTTTAGTGACTAGAGTCTCCCTCATTCTGGGCTCCTACACAGGGACAGAGTCTTCTCAGAGAATCTGATAAAAGCTTCTCTCCTGGGTGCAGCAGCTCATACCTGTAATCCTAGCACTCTGGGAGGCCAAGGTGGGTAGATTACCCTGAGCTCACAGGTTGACACAAGTCTGAGCAAGAGCAAGACCCCGTCTCTAAAAATAGCCAAGTGTTATGGTGGGCACCTGTAGGCCCAGCAACTGGGGAGGCTGAGGCAAGAGAATCCCTTGAGCCCAAGAGTTGGAGGTTGCTGTGAGCTATGACATCATAGCACTCTACCGAGGGTGACGAAGTGAGACTCTGTCTCAATAAATAAATAAATAAATAAATAAAATAAGAGCTTTTCTCCCAATGAGGATCAGTAACACCACACAAACACAATTTTTCATACAATTTCAGAGATTTTCAGAGTTTCCCTGAACTGTATCTAGATACTCCTGGAGAGGACACAGATTCTCAGTTAAGAAGATTTGTTCTCATGCAGGGGTAGGGGTGAGGGGATGCCATGGCCACAGTCGACTTAACCTGGATTCCCAGTGTAACGGAAGCACCCCCTCTGGATAAGATACTCTCTACACCCTCCCAGAAAGAAACTACTTATCTCCTCATAGGCACTTTCACTACCATCAGCCCTCTCACAGGTCTATCCCTTCATTTCCAGTAAGTTTTTCTTTATGGCTATCCCAGGTCTATCCTCTTGAACTATATGCCTACTTCTAGGCCTCTGGGCAGTCAGAGAAGAGCCGGTCATGCTCCCCTCTTTTTTTTTTTTTGAGACAGAGTCTCAAATTGCCACCTTGGGTAGGGTGCCATGGAGTTACAGCTCACAGCAACTTCAAACTCTTGGGCTTAAGCAATTCTCTTGCCTCCCAAGTAGCTGGGACTATAAGCACCCACCACAACGCCTGGCTATTTTTTTATTACAGTTGTCATTGTTGTTTAGCAGGCTCAGGCTGGGTTCAAACCCACCACCCTTGGTACATGTGGTGGGCGCTCTACCCACCAAGCCACAGGCGCCACCCATGTCATGCTCCCTTCTTTAAAGACTAGCTGTTGTTGCCATGCTGTCCAGCCTCTTTAGAGATATCTGTTTCCAACCCTCTCTTCAGCTCCACTCTCCTTTGGCATAGGGTTTAATGCATATGATCCAGGTTGGCCATTTAACTAGTTCTGTGACATTTGGGAAATTATTTAACTTCTCAGAGCCTGTTTCCTCATCTATAAAATGAAAATGGTCATAGCAGCTACCTCTTAGGGGTCTCTGTGAGGTCTACAGGAGACAGTATATGTATAGCACTTAGCATAATGCATGGCACACAGTGTGCTCCATAAACAGTCTCTGTTGTCTGATGTTGTCTAATTGCCCTGCCCTGGGAAAGGAATGAATTACCAGTTGGGATCATCATTCTCTCTTTTTTCTTTTTGGCTGGGGCTGAGTTTGAACCCACCACCTCAAGCATATGGGGCCAGTGCCCTACTCCTTTGAGCCACAGGCGCCGCCCCATCGTTCTCTTTTTTGTTGTTTTTTTTATTTGTTTTTCACTTGTCACCTCCAGTAGAGTGCTGTGACATCACAGCTCACAGCAACTTCAAACTGTCTGGCTCAAGCAATTCTCTTGTCTCAGCCTCCCTAGTAGCTGGGCCTACAGGCACCCGGCTGTTTTTTTTAGAGACAGCGTCAGGCTGGTCTCAAACCTGTGAGCTCAGGCAATCTACCTGCCTCAGCCTAGAGTGATAGGATTATAGGGGTGAGCCACCACATCCAGCCAGAGACAGAACTTTTGAGATAACTGATGGCAAGCAAGAAAAGAGCCACAGAGCAGGAAGAAAAGAAGCTTGAAGATGACACTATTTTGAGGGCCACACAGTCTCTAAAAATAGCCGGGCATTGTGGCAGGTGCCTGTAGTCCCAGGTACTGGGAAGGCTAAGATAAGAGAATCCCTTGAGCCCAAGAGTTTGAGGTTGCTGTGAATTGTGACACCATGGCCTCTGTGGAAGGCAACAAAGTGAGACTCTGTCTCAAAACAAAAAAAGTCCTGTCTCTACCAGTTACCTCCATTTCTTGACTCTCAACATGTTAGAAATCATCAAGGACCTGTCTTCATCAAATCTCAATCCCTATCATAGTTGACGTCCCTGCAGCTTTGAGCCCTGAAGTTACCTTCCACCAGCTTCATTTTAGCACATATGAATATCTTTGTCTTCTCTCTGTTGAACAGACCATCTTCCTAGGCTTCCTCCCAACCCATCATTTTCTACTTAAAAGATCAGCTCCCGGCTCAGCACCTATAGCTCAACCGGCTAAGGCGCCAGCCACGTACACCTAAGGTGGCGGGCTCGAATCCCCAGCCCGGACCCGCCAAACAACAATGACGGCTGCAACCAAAAAATGGCCGGGCGTTGTGG